TCTGTCAGCAGCGTTGCCCGCGTTCCCGTGAAAAAAAAAACCATGCGTTCGAAGCCGCAGTCAACAGTAATACGTTCTTTATATCAAGTTAATTTAATGTGCAAAAATTTTTGTTTTCTATTTACGAATAGGCCGGCTCGACCGGAGTGATACCACGGCCTCACAGAAAACCGACTTCAAGCAACGCTTGCGTTGTGTTTCGTCGTGTGAGTGAGGGTATCGGAGGACCAATTACCCTCCCCTTACCCAATCTCCCCAATTCCTGAATCCTCAACGATCCTCAAACTCCTAATCCCCAAAAGGACGGTAACGCACTTGTAACGCCTCTGGTGTTCCAGGTGTCCATGGGCGACGCCGATTGCTTACCATCAGGTGATCCATCTGCTCGTTTACCGGCTTATGCCATAAAAAAAAATACTTCCCGGCGTCGCACTTGCAGACGAACACTACGAGGCAGTCTATATTCTATTTAATATATAGAAAAATCTTGTTTAAACTAATTTTCTTTCCTAGATAAATACGTTAGCAATTACTATTTCAATTTTGCATTATTTTTTTCATTTGAAAATACATACTTATTATATATACAATTACCTAATATTAACTATAACTAAATGAAAATATATACAACTTAAAATATAAATAACTATGAACTAAAATATTTACACCTTAAAAAAAGGTAATAATAAATAAATAAGCTATAATAAGGCATCAAAAAAAATTTTTTCCTCATCATTATCGTGAGGTGGGTGCCTATTTCAATTGATTTCAAATAACCAGCTATACTATAACACCCACAGACTTCTAAAAATCATGCAGCATCATACATTTTGATCAGCGATTAGAGTAACCAGTAATTACTGAGATTTAACTGTTACATTGGACAGATGACGTAGGTATATGGTATCGTTTAAACTCTGTACTTTATTATGTTCAAACTTGTGCTTGATTTATAACTGCTTGTCAATTCAACTGCACGTTTATGTATTGTTGGACAACGATTGAAATGTACCACTAATGAGTGTTTTTTGTTTATTCTCCTGTTAGTTACCTAAGAGACTGCTTCGTTAGCCAAGTGGTCGCAAGTGTGACTGCCAGGCAAGGGGTCCCGGGTTCGAATTCCGGGTCGGGCAAAGTATTACTGGGTTGTTTTTTTCAAAAAATCTCAGTAGTAGCCCGGAGTCTGAAAATGTGCCCGGTACAAGGCAATACGCTCACTCCCTTGGCTGATATTTTTATGATGATGATGATGATAATAACGACATCTATCGATCTTAACTCAGCACTTGTAACCACTCATACGATATTTTATAAGGCTAAAGTAACACAGAAGTTCCAATACGGTTGTAATTACATCGCCCACATACGTGTTCATTAAAATATTGTTTGTAATACTTAATGGCATGATTGCTGATTAAATTATAATCTGTTTTATTAAACAATAGATACTTAACATTACGCCTTTCACTCGATATCGAGGTAGACAGAGGTGCTCATTTAACCAAACATTTATGACTGGTTATGTTAGGAGAACCATGAAATGTAGTGGTGAGCCTTTTGTCATAAACCGGGCAGGATTCTAAACTCTGTAATGCTGTTTTTTTGTGGAATAAGCCAACAAAGTCAGGTTACCAAGCCAGGTTATCGGAGGCCCAATTATCCCCCTCCTTAGTCCTCGTCTCCCGAATCCTTGAATTCTCCACAATCCTCAGATTCCCAATTCCCAAAAGGCCGGTAACACACTTGTAACGCCTTGGTGTTTCGAGTGTCCATGGCCGGCGACGATTGCTTACCATCAGGTGATCCGTCCTGTTCCGTAACCGGAGGTCTTATTACCCCGAACGACGACGACGAACAAAACTGTAGAATCGATAACATTTCTGTTTTTATTCTGTAAAAAAACAATAGAGACGACACGTTTCTAAAAATATGTTTCGCTACCTTCATTCTCGGACGGACACAAAAGCTGTCGAGTCTCGCACTGTTCTCGAATTTCTTGTTTTTATTTTTTCATCGAACACTCTGTTAGAATGCGACTCAAAATAATGTTTTTTTTTTATTATTTTCTTTCTTTTGATCCGATGCCAAAAAAGGATTTAAAAATATTTTTACACCGTTCCGAATGTGGGTCTAACATGATGTCGATAGTTGAGTGGTTGGAAGTGTGATTACAGTAAGGATCAGGAGTTCAATTCGCAGGTCGTGAAAAGTGTTATTGAATTTTTAAATTCATAAATAATTAGCCTCTGACTGTCTTTTGACAGATTACTGAGTAGGTAAATCTTAGGTTTGATTCCTGACAAAAAAATGTGGTAAAATTGTCATTATTGAATTAATGTTTCCTGCTGTTAAAATGAAGTACCTACCTACTCATTTTGCCAAATTGTAGAATCGAATCCAACAACACTTGCTCGGCAGTCACTCTCCCAACCGCTACACCAAAACAACCACACGATCCAAATAGAATTTAGAATTTAGACATGTCAATCAAGTTTAGTACAAACAAATAGTGACTCTTATATAAACACACAGACTATATTTAAATAGCAGGAAATGATCACCATGTGGCTTGGAGTTTATTTGTATTAGATACTGCTAAACAGTAAAACTACTAAATGAATCAGTGCTGGGTGACTCGTTGTCGCAGAGAACCTAACGGGTAACCGGAGCTCCGACTCGACGTGCAGGAGAAGGAACGGGGTGGTTTTTAGTCAGTAAGAGTCTGACACTCCCTCCCGCCTCACCCAGGCGGGAGCAGTCATTCGATGATTTTCCCCCCTTAAAAAAAAGTCTAGCTTACACTGAGTGGGTAACGCATTTAGCATTCACTCCTCTGTGCATCTTGAGGTGGGGCTTGGCAAGGCAGGCCGCCACGAGTTCGGGGGCTGCGGAAGAATGTGACTCTCGCACCCTCGTACCCCACGTGTGCGACGGGACACCGTGGTGGGTTTTAGTCAGTAAGAGTCTGACAGTCGCTTTCGTTCTCACCAGGCGAGGCGGCTCCATGAGGATTTCCAACCTTGGGGTACAAAAAACAGGATTATTATCATCTCTTTACTGCTTCTTCTGTTTCATTTTTTAACTGAATGTTTATCCACTTCCACTGTCACACTTTTATTGTGTTTTTATATTTTATTTATGCTGCTTCATGTTTGGTGCTGAATAAATGTATCTTTCTCTTTTTAAATTAGTTCGACTAGTTATCCATGTAATTCGAAAAGTATGTTAAATTAGTCCAGTCTCCTAACGGCCGTTCACAATATTCAATCTATCTCTGGTTTTACCCTTACTAGAGATAGCGAGAGTTATCTATCTTTAAAATATTGGTCTCTATAAACCTATCGACAATATGAAATCCTATCCCTGCATCTACGATCTCCGGCCAGCAGCTATCCAGCAGCTGTAGCCAAATGCTATTTAGCGCTTGAAATTGACGTAAATTTTGACACTTGTCAGTGTCATCTCCATACATTTTAATTTCTTCTCTCTCTGTAGACAACCGCTAAAGTGGCGTTTACCGGACGTCGGGGATCGCGGGACGATCTCCGGTCACCGTAAGCGCGGGCCTGCGGACGGCAAGCATGGGTGGCTCCCCGTCCTACCAGAAACCGACCCGAGCGTACGGCGCGTCGCGTTCCGCGCGCGCTTCAAAGAGTCATCAGACCACCACAGATGGGGCTCAACAGGGCCGATGCCGATTCGAAGTCGCGGAGAACCTAACGGGTTACCGGGGCTCCGGCTCAACATGCAGGAGAAGGAACGGGGTGGTATTTAGTCAGTAAGAGTGCAGAGCCATGCTTCGGCACGAATGGGCCGGTTCGAGCGGAGTGATACCACGGCCTCACAGAAAACCGACGTGAAGCAACGCTTGCGTTGTGTATCGTCGTGTGAGTGAGGTTACCAGAGGCCCAATTACCCTCCCTTTCCCCAATCTCCCCAATTCATAAATCCCCAACCATCCTCAAACTTCTAATCCCCAAAAGGCCGGTAACGCACTTGTGTTCCAGGTGTCCATGGGCGACGCCGATTGCTTACCATCAGGTGATCCGTCTGCTCGTTTACCGGCTTATGCTACTTATAAAAAAAAAAGTAAGAGTCTGACACTCCCTCCCGGCTCACCCAAGCGGGAGCAGTCATTCGATGATTTTACCCCCTTAAAAAAAACACTGCATATCTATCTATCAACGGGAGGACAAGTGGCTTACTAAAGATAGGCATTTGTATGCCAATTTCTGTTTTTTTTTCTTTGGCAACCGAGTCTCCAAAACGGTGTTGTCGCCTATACTGCCAGTGTCGATTTGCCGCATCTCTTTACTAATCTGTCAGTAAGTTTGATTAACTTTAGTAACGTCTTACCTACCGTCTTACGTCTCACTTCAATCCTCGGATTTTCAGAGATAACGGGTCGTCATAGATAATAAATCTATGCGTTACCATTGCAGATATTAAATTTTAGTTTAATTATTTGTTGTGATAAATATAGTAGGCCTTGACCTTGCGAAGAAATGTCAGAATCATCAAGTTCAAGTAGTGATCTTGATCTCTTGGAACAGCTGAGTGGCTGGGAATCAGATGAAGAAAATGATGTGATCCGATTAAGTACCACAAGAGCGAGAAACTATTTTGATAGATACGACGATAATAATAACGATACAAAATTGATTTTGAAGGGGTAGAGGTGGGG